GTGCCTATTAAGTGGGAAATAAACCTGGAATGGAACAGCAGGTATAGAGTATATTGTTTTATAAGACAGGATTCAGTCCTTCTCAAAAATGGGTTCTACAGACCACAGTGTTTGTGTGGGGATGGGAGAGGGGTGCAGAATCCTGGGCTCTGTAGTAACCTAGGCATCAGAATCTCTGCAGGTGAGGCTTATCGAAACAGTATTTCCTAAGCTTCAGCACACTATAGGGTTAGAGCCACAGTACCCCAGAATGTGGAGCATGGTTAAAAAAAAAAATTTAATTAGAACGACTGCAAAGATACCCAAGCTGCCTGTGTTGGTCAGATTCATTCAACACATGTTCACTGAAAAATCTTGATGTCATGGACACTATCCTAGGTATAGTTGTGATCAATGAAAAAAGGATTTCTAATCAAACAAGCAATTACATAGATAAAAACCTAAGTAAGGATGGGGATCCCATGAAGAAGTACCATTGAGCCTGGTGCCGTGACACAGGCCTTTAATTCAGCTACTCAGGAGGCTGAGGCAGGAGGATCTCAAGTTCAAGGCAAACCTGGGCGACTTAGTGAGACCCTGACTCAATATAAAAATGAAATGGTCTGGGGCAGCTCCATGGGAGAGCACTTGCCTAGCCTGCATGAACTCCTGGGTTGAACCTGCAATAAAAGAAGTACCACTGAAATGTGACCTCTGTCGAGAGGTCATGCATGACAAAGATTCCCAGGGTGTGAATTTCTGGGGACCATACATCCTAGGAGGAAAATTCAAGGGAAAAGGTCTGAGGACATAAACATCTCTCTCATTCAGCCTAAGGGATGGAGGAAACAAAGATTGGTGTGGCAAATCCTAGTGAGTGAAGAGAAATGGGGAGAGATTGGAAAAGTCGATAGGGAGTGAGTGCATCAGGACTTTGGGGGATCAGCTGTCCCACCAGTTTTCTGGGATAAGGGATTTCCTGGGATGTAGATCTTTCAGTCCTAAAATCAGGAAAGTCTCAGGAAAAATTGGAACAAGTTGGTCACCCTAGGCCATGTTGAGGCATTTGAAAGAGAAGAACAGTGGGCTTAAATCAAAGCATTTAAAGTAGATCCAGAGTGACTGTGATTTAAACTTCCCAAGTTTTCCTTTATCTCTGGGCACAGGACCAACTGGGTTAGGGGAAGCCAAAGAGGACACTCCTACAAAAAATATTGCTGACTTGCAAGTGAAGATGATGGTCATTTGGACCTAGGAGGTGACAATGAAGAGGGAGAGAGGTGACAGATTCTAGATACTTCCTGAAAGTGGAAACAAAACCTTGTTGCTAGTTATGTACAGGGAGGAGGAGGGGAAGGGAGTCATCCTGGGTGATTCAGGTGTTGACCCTCACTGGGTGACACTCAGAAATCAGTATTAACAAAGAAGAAACCCCTTGGTGGAGGTTTCTGGGGGGTGGACATACAGGCAGATTGAATACCCAGAGGCAGTGCTGGGTTGGATGAACAACAATGTCATGAAATTGAAACATTCACCAGACTTAACTGCTGGCCACCACAGGATCCTCTCTTGAGCACCCTCTGCTGCATGTCCCTCAGAACTTTTTCCTTTTATGATTACTCTTGTGAACTATATGCAGATTTTCACCCCATTACAGGGCTGGGACTGAAAACAGGTGATTCCCAGCCCCATGTCCTGATGCTGGCCTTGTGACTCCTGCACGTGTTGATATAAAAACCCACCCAGGAAGGTCTTTATCAGGGATTCAGTTACGTGGTTTGCCTCTACAAGGCCCGTGTCCACATGGCCTACCTTTCTAGACTAACGTCATGGCATGAAGCAAAACCAAATAAATAAATAAATCCTACTACCTGAACAGCTGAATTTTAGATAACAGCTCAAGTGATTTCTAAATGTCTTGCAAAATGATTCTTCCAGGTGATTGTTTTTGGGGGGAGAGGGTAAGCAGGGATTGGACTCAGGGGGACTTGACCAATGAGCCACATCCCCAGCCCTATTTTTTATTTTTTTTAGACACAGGGTCTCATTGAGTTGCTTAGCACCTTGCTTTTGCTGAGGCTGGATTTGAACTTGCGATCCTCCTGTCTCAGCCTCCTGAGCCACTGGGATTACAGGCATGCACCACGGCGCCAGCCAAAGTGAATTTTTTTTCCCCAAGTTATTCTTCAAGTTTGCCTACTATGTTCGCTCTGGTCAAAGCATTTATCCAAATCAGTTTTCTTTCCTTAACCGGTCTTCTGATTTTTTCTTCCTGCTGAAGAAAGAAACTACTGCCTCTATCCTTCTGGAAGCTGTGATCTTCATAGTATACTAGATTGGAATTCAGTTAATCAGTGTCCCACTCCTGCTATACCATCTCCATTTTGCAAATACCCCATGCAAGACTTGTAGGTCAGGACACAATTATTGTCAGAGTTTGTGCTACTTTCCCTAAGAGACTTTGCTAAGAACGTGATTCTGCAAACGTGCTTCTAAAATGGAAGGTTACACCTGTGGAATTTCGACCAGGAGAAGAGATATCTTACTGGTGAGATTACTTCTGTGATTCTCAATGCTAACTTCAAGGTTTTGAAATTCAACCAAAACCTCAAAACATGAACATGGCCTTTCCAGTTGAACATAGAAAGAGCGATGCTGCCCCTGTGTGGTGAAGTTTGATATTTCACTCTGCAGGAGCAGATTTTACAGCTGAAACATAAGGAGGGGAAAAGTGATGCTAAGACATTTATATTTTTATTTTAAATTACAGAGGTTGCAATTTTCCTTTTTGGGTTAAAAAAAGGCTAGAATGGAAAAGACAATAGCTAATTTATAATATCCTTAGAGAGATTCTGTTTTACTTCTTTTTTTAATTTTATTTTTTAAATACATGACATGACATTATAATGATCTTGGCGATTCATACATTTAGATCATTGGGGTATAATTTCTCATTTTTCTAATTGTACAGATTGCAGAATCACACTGGTCATAGAGTCACCTATATACATACAGCAATCATAGTGTCTATTCTATTCTGCTGCCCTTCCTATCCCCCCTACTCATCCCCTCCCCTTTTTTTACTTCTAAATTGCAAATTTCAGTGAGTAGCTTTCTCTAAATAAAAAAAGAGAACATTATTTAAGGTTACTTTCTTAGCTCATGTAATGCTGAAGGAGAAAGTAGAAAACATCCCTGTATCTCTCCAGATCTTCTATTTTTTTTTTTTTAGGTAACAACAACAATGATCATATCTATATAAACAAAGTGAAGTTCACATTTGTCAGAAAACATTATACAGATGTTTCTCAACTTACCATGGGATTACATGCCAATAAACCCATTGCCATTTGGAATATCATAAGTTGAAATTACAGTTAATTCTCCTAATCTACCAAACACTCTGTTTTGACAACACAGCACACGGTAGGGTGATAGATGTCTCCCCCTGATGGTTACAAGGCTGACTGAGTGCTGTGGCTCAGGGTCACTGCCCAGCTTCACAAGAGGATCAGAGTGCATAGTGCTAGCCCAGGAAAGAGCCAAACTTATAACTGGAAATACAGATTCTCCTAACTTCATGTCACTTTCGAACCACATGTAAGTGGAACCACCACATGTTAGGGACAATGTGTATGTGACATGCAGAAAGTCATACAATCCTGAGAGTGAGGACAGCATTATCTACCTAGGAAATCTTTCTACCGAGCACCTGAAACTGAGTACAGCTTGAAGGGTCTCTTGGGTGATCTAGACTAAGACATAAGGGAAGGGGCAGGAACAACATTTATTGTGGGGCATCCAGGGAGAATCACAGAAACACACAATGACCGCAGCCTTGCTACTGTGAGGTTCTTCATGGACCAGCAGAACCAGTGTCCGTGGGATCATCTTGGAAATGCTTCTGGGCGTATTCCCAGACCCTATAGACCAGGAGCTTGTACTTAACAAGATCTCCAGGTGACTCATGCGCTTTAATGTTGGAGAAGCAACATTAAGGACTACTGAAACAGCCGAAATCCACCAACTGGGAGAGAAATGTTATGGTCAGAGGAAACCCCCATGGCTGAAATGTGAGTCCCAGACTAAAAGGGACAAAGGCAGACATCCAAACTGCACATGAGGTGGGTAGTCAGCTTCCCAAGGACAGTGTGGTGACTTCCAGGGGAAACAGAATCAGGGATTCATTGATTCAGTGGTGATGACGAATTCTCCTGAGCAATCCTAGGTAAGTCACCCTAGTGACTTCATAAGCACAGTAGCAGTAGTGACCGCAGTGGGCTCCGGGTTTTATGTGCATTATGTGACTGAACTCTCACAACATTTGAAGCAGCAAACCTGAGGTACCAGGTTAGCCAATAAACTCATTGCAATTTGAAATATTGTGAGATTAGCAGTGTCCAAACAAGGAGCTCCCTGGGGAAGAAAGCAGAATTCAAAACCAGAATTGTTAGTCTAACGTGGGTGAAGGAAAATTTATACCAGACATACATTAAGCTAAATAAACAACTCTCAGATTTGAGGATACATACAAAATATTCTTAAGATTTTGTTAAAATGCAGAATCCTGTGTCCCGAGGCTAAACTACAGAAACAGGTTGTCTAATGCATGTCTTAGATGATTGTGGGGACAAGTGCATGGAGTACTGCATACATGACATACATTCAGGGCGTCTAAGTGGCAGGCCACTCCCCTCATGCTAGGTGTGTGAGCAGCAGGCCGCTTACCCCATAGGCACAGCCCTGGGCATGAGGCCATGTGTTGCAGTCCCTGCACTAGCTCCATGGCCCACTCCTCGATTGGTCACTGCAAGGACAGTTATCAGAAATTGCACTGGTGGCTGCCAATAATCTGCTTAGCTACTGCCTGAGTATATGTACATGGTAACTGCACAATAAAATCAGACCTGCTTCCTGCTTGGTCTCCAGGGGTCTTGATTAGCAACTCTGCAGCCACACTCTCCTCTACCCTGTTCCGTGGATCTCCTCATTGGACGAGAGAGAGCACACACAGACTGTTATGCCTAAGTGATTCTGAAACAAGAGGTACAAGGAACGACTCAAGAAAAAGCTGCCCAAGAAACTGCAGGCAGAAACTGAGAGTCAAGGTCTTCATCCACAGTCATCAGAAGGGGCAACCTTGACAATACCTTGACTTTGAACATCTGACCCCCACAAGTATAAGACTACACTTCCCCATTGTTTAAGCCACCCACAGCAGACATAGAAAACTCCAAGAAGTAAAACTTTACTTATTTAATGCAGAGGATACTGGGCCAAGACACACCAACCAGGACATTGAAGACTGATTGACAATTGATGACTGAATCCAAGAAACTGAACGAAATATTTACTTCTAAGCAACAGAGGATAAGGTGGTACCTGCTTGGAATTTTTGGTTATGATTGTGAAACTTGATTTACTTTGACCCTGATGTTAGAAACCACTGACACAGAACTCAAAGAAACGCAACAAACAAATTCATAACCAGGTTTGTTTAAATTAATTTTTATTTACTCATTTTAATGGAGAATTCTTAGCAGGCAGACAATTATTTTCTTTTATTTTTAGAAGATTATTTCCAAAATTAAAGTATTTTGGAAGCACCAAAAGCTTTTAAAAAGTATTAACTGTTTAACGACTTCAAGACTGTGTTCTTCTTTCCTTTTAACTCATGGGTGGCTCTACTTGGCACACTGACTTGGAGTTTTCAAAGGGCCTAACCTGGTTTCCATTCTCCTTGAGGGTGGGGTGCCTCCTGGGCATGTCTGCCCCAGGTCTCCTACCCATTCTCACCGGGTTCTTCTGCAGTTACACTCTGCCTTTAAAAGTTGCCCCAAATTAGTAGGTCTGACATATCAGAAATGTTTTGATATTTTATAACCCTGATAGTCTCATAATAGTTACAATCATTCTGAATGTCTTATCTTCCTAATAGAACCAAATATAAACCATAGTTTTCTTTATTTCTTTTTTTTTCCCCCTGAGATAGGCCAGATCAAGCTCAGCACAGGCATCATTTGTTGTCACCCTGAACAAGGCCACCATGTTGACAGTGTGCTACAGGACTTAGGACCTCACATTCACCTCTCGTCAGGTGGGGCCAACTCATGCCAACTCTAGGGGTAAGTGACAAAAGCTTTGGACCCATGCAAACCTGTGGGGTTTATTCTTTCCTGTTAAATTATGACTGTGCTCATGCCACCAGCCAGGACCTATACCCTAGTGAGAGTACACAGGCTGCTACCCCAACTCACAGGACCAATGGCTTTTGCCTTGACTCAGGGAAGTCCAAAGATGAAAAACAACGTGGTAGGGATACAAGTTCTGAGCTGCTAGTCAGTTTTCCTCTACTGTAACAAAAACCTGAGATAAATCAACTTACAAAGAGGAAAGGTTTATCTTGGTTCAAAGTTGCAGAGGTTTCAGTCCATGCTTAGTTGGCCACATTGCCTTTGGGCCTGAGACAAGGCAATAATACATCCTGTCAGGGAATGCATGATGGAGCTGAGCTATTCATTTCATAACAGGCAGGAAGTGAAGAGAGAGGAAGAGGAAGAGACCAGAGTCCCATACACCTTTGAAGGCATGAGGCCAATGACTTACCTTCCTTCCAATGGGCTTTACCTCTTAAAGATTTCACTGCCTCCCCTTGGTGACACAGGCTTGGGAACAAGCCTTTAACTCGTAAGTCTTCTGAGGACATATAAGACCATAGTGGGGGACCTGCCTGGTGGTCACTAGGGGTCGCTCACCTCATCCTCACAGGTAGACACTGGAGTGATGAGAAGGGTCCACTCAGCTCATCCTCACAGGAAAATCCTTTTTTGTTGAGTATTAACAGCTATTTTTTTCCTTTACCCACTTTTCCTTTTTTCCTAAAAAGACCCTGTCTGCCCCTTTGACAGGCACCAGCAAATTTCCCAGCCAGACTCACAATTCCTTTTAGGACTTTCCTGTAAAGTTAGCACAGAAGACTCTTCCATGCACATGCAGGGTGCTGGGAGACTGGGTCTGGATTCACAGAGGGACACGCTGCCTGTTTAGTGGAGGAGTAAAGTCCACAGGAGGAAGAAAATGAACACCACCCACCAACCGAGAGAAAATCAAAATGGTAGAGAGGAGTGAGTGTGATTGACAGCATCACTCTGGCACTCCATCCTCTCATTCTTCACCTTTTCTTTCTCAGACACTGCAGTAAATTGTTCTCTGCTTCATGTATTTAAGTCAAGTTCTGCTAGGGAGCAGGGGTGGAAGGAATGCACATGCTCTGACCCATGTGACTCTTCTAAAATTGTTGTTTTATGCCATTGTATCCTCAGCACACTCCAATGACTGGCGCTGCAGTTGGTCTGCGTGCATCTGAGTAACTTGCCCAACAGCTTGCAGGCAACGAGAGGCAGAGGGGATGTGCACCCGCAGCTGGAGTCCTGCATTTAGCATTTGTATTTGTTGCTCTGCTCTGATCTCCAGTGATTTCTAACTCTGACTCCAACATGGGTCAGTAATGAACTATTCCTTGAAAGGCTAAATTAAACACAGGCCTCTGTCTTTGTAGATCCATCCTGTTGCTCACTGGGGTTCCAAGGCTGAGGATGCCCTACTGCTACTCAAAACCGTGCTCCTTCTGTCAGTGGCAGTAACACTCTGTTGCCTGACAGAATCTGCAATTTTAAAAAAGTTTTCCTTTCTTGAGATATGTAATCTGCTGAGGTTTCCAGGATGTGTTTGGCTTGAAGTCCAAACAACTGTTTGACACACTGAAGCATGTTTTATCACCTCTCCAGAGAATAACAAGTGTGTTCAAGGAAGATCACTTCCCTCCTGCTCCATGCCACTGCCCCCCCCCCAACAGCTGTAGGTAAAATGACGTCCACTTTTTAAAAATTTTCCATTAGAATGTTCTCTTTAAAAAAAATCACATCTGGTCCTCTGCCAATTGGAGATTTAATGTAACCAAAGATCTTAATCCAGCTAGAGAACTAAATTCACTGAAACCAGAAAGAGAAACTGGGGCAAGTGTGCTGTTTGCATTCCTACTGTGAAATAAGATCTGACCCAGTACAGATCTGGGAAAAGCTCCCACCAGAGCTGTGGAAATCTTGTTTCATGATAGAAAATCTGGTTTGAGAAAGAAACTGCTCTGCTTCTCTGTCTGACAAGATGGAATCCTTTGTTTCCTGATGTTCTCATGTTAATCCCCAAAGCACGATTGGCTGGCAATGAGCACTGGCTGGGAGGAAGGGATGAATATTCTAGAAAGGAAATGGAGACCATGTGAGGTACTGGCCTCCATCAGCGAATTCACTGTGAGTCATATTTTTTCTCCATTTGCTCCAAACTCCAAATTGCTTGAACAAGACAAAGAGAGAGAGAGGGGAGAGAGAGAGAGAGAGAGAGAATATTAGGAAGATAAAAAATCAAATATGATCACCAAAATGCTAGGTAGAAATAGGCACTCTTCTAGTAAAACTTGAATTCATGTTAAAGTTCTTTGGAAATTTTGCAATTATATTCCTGATAAAAGTCATGCAACTGAACTTAAACAGAGGAAGAAAAATGTCACTGAAGTTATGAAAAAGCGGAGTCATGCAAAAACATTCTGTGCTTTCAAAATACTAACATTTTCCCCAGCAGCTCAGGAGGCTGAGGCAGAAGGATCATGAGTTCAAAGCCAGCCTCAGCAAAAGTGAGGTGGTAAGCAACTCAGTGAGACCCTGTCTCTAAATAAAATACAAAATAGGGCTGGGGATGTGGTTGAGTGCCTCTGAGTTCAATCCCTGGTACCGGCGCCCACCAACCCCAGCCTCAAAATACTAACATTTTTAAAATAATGGTCTACTTCCTAATGTTTTATTAGAATGAAGATTAACTATTTATATTAACACATAAAAAGCATTTAAATATTCACATTAGGAATTTATTTAATATCCTAGATTTCTATATCAGTGATTTTTTTTAATACACGACAGCAGTGGAAAGCATTACAATTCTTATTACACGTAGAGGGCACAATTCTTCATATCTCTGTATATAAAGTATGTTCACATCAATTTATGCCTTTATATGTGTACTTTGTGTTTTTTTTCATTACAATTCTTAATACACATATATACCACGATTTTTCATATCTCTGTTTGTATATAAAGTATGTTGACATCCAATTCAGGTCTTCATACATGTACTTTGGATAATGATGTCCATCACATTCCACCATCCTTGCTAATCCCCTGCCCCTTCCCTTTCCCTCACACCCCTCTTCCCTATCAAGATTTCATCTATTCCTCTCATGCTTTCCCTCCCTACCCCACTAATGAGTCAACCTCCTTATATCAGAGAAAACACTCGGCATTTGTTTTTTGGGGATTGACTGACTTCACTTAGCATTATCTTCTCCAACGCCATCCATTTACCTGCAAATGCCATGATTTTGTTCTTTTCTAATGCTGAATAAAATTCCATTTCCAAGATCAAAAATCTCCAAAATATGAAAACATGTTGAGTTGTTTCACATCCATAGCCAAGAAATTTTAAGACGTATCTCTTTTTTCTGTTGTTTAGAAATAAATATTTCATCCAGTTTGAAAAAGGTACTTTTGTGGCCTTTCCTTTATAATCTCAAAAGGGTCAAGATATTCAACTGGCTCTATATGGTTTCCTATAAGCACCTAAGCAGTGCTGAGATGGAAGTTCTCTCAATATTTTCTCCTTGACCCTGGCATTTAAAAATTCACATTAGGAATCTATTTAATATCCTAGATTTCTATATCAGTGATTTTTTTAATACACGACAGCAGTGGAAAGTATTACATTACAAACAATTCTTTTGGTTGTACATGATATGGAGTATATCTCCCTCAAGTGTATATGTCTTATTTCAGAATTCCCAGACCACCGGGAATCCTGAAGTCTAGTCTGTGTGTGTGTGTGTGTGTGTGTGCATGCGCGTGCACATGCGTGAGTATCTCTATCCCATAAGCTTCAAATCCTATTATTGACATTCTGAATGGGGGCATTAGGAGTAACCTCATTGCCCTGTTTAAATCAAGCATGTGATGCCATATTTTCCCATGCACTGATGATGATGCATAAGAAAGGAGCAGAAATCACTATGCCCTGACAGGTGGCACACATGATCTCTACACCTGGTCACTAAAACCATCATCAGAGCTGAGGAGCAGCTGGATTGGCCCCCAGCACCCAAGAGGCGTCCTTAGTAATGGCCATAGTAAAGAACTCCTGAAACAAATATCAGATTAAGCCTCCATGTGTTTTATTAATTTCTATTTTGGTGGCAGTAATAGTAGCATTAAAAATAGCCCACAAACTCAAAATCTTTTAGGAGACAGATTAGATAAGTACAAGCTTCATAATCCTCCTAATGTACTAAAAAATAATTCAGAATATGAATGTATGAAAATATAATTTTACACACATAGATACTGTGCTCAAGGAAGAAGGATACTCACATCACAGACTATCTTAAATTCACATGAGAATTACAATGTGCGTCAACTGATATGGATAAATAAAATGTGGTGTATCCATACAATGGACTGTTGTTTGACCATAAAAAGACAGTATAGACAAATCTTGAAACCATCATGTGAAGTAGAAAAAGCTAGTCACAAAAGACTATGCGTAACATGATCTCATTTATGTGAAATGTTCAGAATGGGCAAATCAACAAACAAAGAAAGCAAGTTTGTCATGGCCTAGAACTGAAGTTTTTCAGTGGCTTGGGAGAAAATGGTAGTGACTGCTAATGGGAATAGTTTTTTTGTTTTTTTGGGGGGGTGGGCAGAGGATGGAAATGTTTTTGTTATTATTATTTGTTTGGTATCAGAGATTGAAACTAGGACCCCTTAATCATTAGTCACATCCCTAGCCCTTATTTTTTATTTTGAGATAGGGTCTTGCTAAGTTGTTTAGGGCCTGGGAATGTCTTAAAGGGGATTATGGAGATGGTTGTGTTACAGAAAGCTTGGTCCTTGTCCTGGATGCCAATTTAATAATGAGGAATAAAAGGAAAAGGAAGTTTTCTTGCTTTGCTAGCAAACTAGAAGCACAGGGAACTTCTGTCCCAGAGGACAAAGAGGTTTTTTTTAAATTTGTTCTTTTTAGATATACATGACAGTAGAGTGCATTTTGACATATTATACATACATGGAATGTAACTTATTCTAATTAGGATTCCATTCTTTTTGTTGTACATGATATGGAGTTTTATGGTCATGTATTCATATATGAACATGGGAAAGTTATGTCCAATCCATTCTACTGTCTTTCCTATTCTTACCTTCCCTCTCTTCCCATCATTCCCCTTTGTCTAATGCAATGAATTTCTATTCTCCCCACCATTCCCACCCCAATGTGTGTCACATCCACACATCAGAGAATATTCAGTCTTTGATTTGGGGGGGAATTGGCTTATTTTGCTTAGCATGATGGTCTCCAGTTCCACCCATTTACTGGCAAATGCCATAATCTCATTTCTCTTTATGGATGAGTAATATTTCATTGGGTATATATGCCAAGTATTCTTTAACCATTCATCTGTTGAAGGGTACCTAGTTTAGTTCCATAGCTTGGCTATCCTAAATTGAGCTTCTATAAACATTGATTTGGCTGCATCACTGTAGTATGCTGTTTTTATGTTCTTTGGATATATCCTGAGGAACGGGATAACTGGGTCAAACGGTGGTCCCATTCCAGGTTTTCTGAGGAATCTCCATTCTGCTCTCCAGAGTGGTTGCCCCAATTTGCAGTCCCACCAGCAATGTGTAGTAAACATTTTCCCCTGTATCCTCCTCCCCAATATTTATTGCTGCTTGTATTCTTGATAATTGCCATTCTGACTGGAGTGAGATATTTAAATAGGGCAATAAGGTTACTTCTAATGCCCCCTTTCCGTTACATGTCAATAACAGGATTTGAAGCTTATGGGATGGAGATACTCACGTGTGTGCCTGCACACACACACAGTATAGTATTAATTTGCATTTCTTTAATTGCTACATATGTTGAACATTTTTTCATGTTTGTTGACCCTTTGTATTTCTTTTGTGAAGTGCCTGTTGTTAAGTTCCTTTGCTCATTTATTGATTGGTTTATTTGGGTTTTTTTTTTGGGGGGGGGTAAGTTTTTGATGTTGATCTGGAGATTAATGCTCTGAGTTTCAGGTACCAAAGATTTTCTCCCATTCTGTAGGCTCTCTCTTCACATTCTTGATTGTTCCCTTTGCTGTGAAAAAGCTTTCAGTTTGATATCATTCCATTTCTTGATTCTTGATTTTATTCCTTGTGATTTAGGAGTCTTGTTGATGAAGTCAGTTCCTAAGCCAACATGATGGAGAGTTAGGCCTACATTTTCTTCTAGTAGGCACAGAGTCTCTGGTCTAATGCTTGGGTCCTTGATCCACTGTGAGTTGAGTTTTGTGCAGAGTGAGAGATAGGGGTTAAATTTCATTCTACTACATATGGATTTCCAGTTTTCCCAGCAACATTTTTTGAAAAGGCTATCTTTTCTCCAATGTATGTTTATGGCACTTTTGTCTGAGATAACTATATATATGTAGGCTTATATCTTATATGAGATAACTATATATATGTAGGCTTCTCTCTATATCTTCTATTCTGGCCCATTGGTCTTCATGTCTTCTGTGTGTGTGTGTGTGTGTGTGTGTGTGTGTGTGTGTGCGCGCGCGCGCGCGGGTGCACTAATACTATGCTGTTTTGTTACTATATCTCTGTAGGATAATTTAAGGTATGATATTGTGATGCCTCTTGCTTCACTTTTTTCACTAAAGATTGCTTTGGATATTCTGGGTCACTTATTTTTTGAAATAAATTTACTCCCTGCCTTTTTCTATTTCTATGAAGAACATCATTGGAATTTTAATAGAAATTGCATTTAATCTGTTTAGTGCTTTCAGTAGCATGGCCATTTTGACCATATTAATGCTGCCTATCCATGTCCAAGAACATGGGAGATCTTTCCAGCTTCTAAGGTCTTCTTTAATTTCTTTCTTTAGTGTTCTGTAGTTTTTATTGTAGAGGTCTTTTAACCTGTTTTGTTAGACTGATTCTCAAGTATTTTTCTTTTGTGAGGCTATTGTGAATGGGGTAGTTTTGCTAATTTCTCTTTCAACTGACTCATCGTTTTATGGGTATTGATTTTATATCCTGCTACGTTGGTGAATTCATTTATGAGTTCTAAAAGTTTTCTGGTAGAAATGTTTTTTTGACTAAGTGTAGAATCACATCATCAGCAAATAGGGATAGTTTGAGCTCTTCTTTTCCTATTTGTATCCCTTTAATATCTTTCTTCTGTCTCATTGCTCTGGCTAGGTTTTCAAGGACTATGGTGAATAGAAGTAGTGAAAGAGGGCATCTCTATCTTGTTCCAGTTTTTAGAGGAAATGCTTTCCGTTTTTCTCCGTTTATGATGATGTTGCCCTTGGGTTTAGCATACATAGCTTTTACAATATTAAAATATGTTCCTTCTACCCGTACTTTTTCTAGTGTTTTGAGCATGTATTGATGCTGAATTTTGCCAAATGCTTTCTCTGCATCTATTGAGATGATCATGTGATGCTTTTCTTGAAGTCTATCCATGTAATGTTCATTCCTGTGTTCCCTGTGAGGAGCCGTGATTCACTTGTTAATTTGGGAGATAGCTAATCTTTAGATCTTCTGAAGCCATCCATGAAATCTGAATTACTTAGTTCCTATGGTGGGTGTGTACTCAAAGACAGATAATTCTGCCTAGGATGGGGAAAAGGTAATCCTGTTCCCCTTTACCAGATTGGTGGGGGGGAGATGTAGAAGAGGAAAAGAAAACACATCCATTTTAAAATAAGCCTCAGTGGCAGAGCAGCAAGGGTTATATTCAAAGCACGAGATAGGCCACTGTTATATTTGCACAGCTCTGTGGATATACTAAAATTCACATCATTGTATATTTTAAAGGGGTGGTTTCCATGTGCATTATAGCTCAATAAAGCTGTTACATTAAGAGAAGACCTAGGGATATATACTTAACCCTGACTTTCAAGTAGTGGTCCTTGAATGTAAACAAGCCTCAGCATCACTTCGAAATGCTCAAATGCAGATTGCTGAACTTCCCTGTCCTCGTTTCTGAATCAGTAGTTCTGGAGTAGAGCTGAGAAATTGCATATGAACTATCTCCAGGTGATCCAGGTTACGAGCATCAGGACCACACTTTGCTAACAACTACTCCAAAACAGCAGATTTTTGAAGTAAGAAAAGCACTGACTACAAGGATGGTGAAATGTGATGGACATCATTATCCAAAGTACATGTATGAAGACATGAATTGGGTGTCAACCTACTTTATATACAAACAGAGGTATGAAAAATTGTGGTATATATGTGTAATAAGAATTGTAATGCAAAAAAAAACAACAAAGTACATGTATAAAGACATGAATTGGTGTGAACATACTTTATACAAAGATATAAAAAAATTGTGCTCTATGTGTGTAATAGGAACTGTAATGCATTCTGCTATAGGGTACTTAAAAATAAAATTAATTAAATATAAAAATAAAATAAAAAGGGCTGGGGATGAGGCTCAGTAGTTAAGCACCCCTAGGTTCAATAACTGGTACAAAAAAAAAAAAACCTAATAGCAATGAGGTAACTATTTTTTCATTAATGTTGACCTTGAGTTTTCTGCTACAGGTTTTCATTAAAAATATATAAGCAATAAAAAAAAAAAAAGAAAAGCACTTGCTACAAATAAGTCCTGCCTCCCATTTCCACAGGGTCTGTGGATGGTGTGGGCTGATATCTGAGAAAAGAACTTGAGGAGCCCAAGAGTCAGCCAAGTCAAGCCACACTGTCAGTAGAGACAAAACCATCTCCTCTCACTGCTGAAGCATGGCTGCATGATACCCAGGAGGAGGTATGGCCTTGGGTATTATTTATGAATCACCATGTACACAGCTGTGTCATCAGTAGCCTCTAGGATTGGAAGAGCAAACTGAACTTTGAGGGGAACGATGTGATCTCTTTTGGCCTCTAACTAATTGAAGCCAACTAATTGAAGAACTAAGGAAGCCCCTATTCTCTCACTTATCACTTTTCTTTCAGGTAAAATATTGGGGCATATCTGCCTTGCAGCTTTATTACAGACTTTATTTCATTAACAAATTTTTCCTCCTACAGAAAAGAGGTATCTTCAGCTTTAAAAGCATATTATGAATCTTAAAAACTGGCAGGCACTCTGAACCTCTCTCCCATCTCCATCTTTCTTCCCTTTCTGCATCATGGTTCTATAACTTACCAGCTGCATGACCTTGACCTTCCTATCGCTAAGCCTCAATTTTGTTATCGCTACAATGATAGTATATACCACTTCAGAGGACTGTGGAGAAGATTCAATGAGTTCATGTCCTGTGTTTAAAATACAGCCTGTTATGCAGTAAGCACTGTGTCCTGTCTTTTGGAACCTGAACTTCCTCAAGGCCAAGATCAGGGAGTTGCCATTGTGTTTCCTATTACTCATTTAGCAGTGTCTACTCCCTCACCCTGCATGGCTGTAAAAATTGTTCTATGGGTATTACTGAGAATCTGAGCAAAGAACCCATGTTCTCTGAGTTCTGAACCAGTTCAGGTTGATATCTGTCATCTGTTGCTCCAGCCCAGTGGATTTGTGCTTGAGCCACCTGCCAATGTATTGTAGTTTCCTTGTACTTCATTGCTGTAACCAACGTTCCTCCTGTCTCTGGGTATACATTGGAACATAGAAGCCACTTAGTACTCATTAGCTGGTATGGCCTGTTGCTAGAGGTGTAGTATCACTGAATGTCTGATGAACAATGATTGAGAAAATACCTGATAATTTTTAGCTGCAAATAACTGAATACACCTTAGCTGTATTCAACCTAAAAAAAAAAAAAAGTGCTACCTTATAATAGGGAACTCCAAGAATCTTAGAAGGGTTAGAGAATGCAAGTCAAAGGTAACACCTCAATTATATTCTGGGACATTCAAGAAAGACCCTAGAGCCACACACATATCATTGTACATGTACTGCACCAAATGCTACATTTCAGAGTTTTTCCAGGGTCCTTCTGCATGCCAGTTATATCACTGCTACCTGCCATTTTTATTATTTCTTACCATACTGCCTTCTTCATATCACTTCTCTCCAGATTGAAGTCACATGTAACATCTGTAGAGCCTAATTCCCATATCTGTGGACTGGTGGCAAAGAGGACTGGGAATAAGACTTTCTGCTTCTACTATATGAAGGTGAAACCATAAAGAGAGGAACTGGGGTACAAAGTTTTGAACAATAAAAAAATCAAAGCAAATATCCATATAGATAGATGATCTCAAGGACAGCCTTCTAGGGTCCCTTGCACACCAGTAATGTAAGCATGAGCAGAAAGGCACTGGGAGACCTCGAAGCCTCCAGGTAGCCACAGAAGTCCAGAAAAACCTGCTAGATACACTGGTCAGAACAAGGATGGTGTAAAGCATACACACCTTAAAAGCCAGAGTCCACGGTAGGACGTGAGGACCCTTCAGGCATGACCAACACCCACAGACCATGGGCTTGAGTTGCCTCAGTAGAGGTTGGATTGTGGCAGAGAATGGTACTCAGACTAGATTCCCTTCCCCAGTTGCCAAGTGTCAATAGAAGTCTCTGAGAACTGGATCACCCTGGGGGAAAGATAAAAGCAGAAAGGGAAGGGGGAAACTCTGAGTGTGATGCTGCATAGAGCCTGGTCCTATATCATAAGTCACAGTATTTATTACCTTCAGTTGGAAAGTGTGGGAATAAACAAAATCCAGACAAATCTATTTATTTGGAGCAAGGGAGTCGGACACCATCACGTGGGTTTTGGCAAAGACTCAAAAACAGACAGGAAGAGAAAACATTGTAGCAGAAAGAAGGAAAGATTGCAGAGGAGCCCTGAGTAGAAGATGTTGGCCAGGGAAAGTTGTAGGCATGTAATTGAAGCAGGGCCTCCTATGTGATTGGCTAGAGTTGCATATTTGGTTTTCTCTAGTTGTTCCTAAATTGGAAGAGCGAACAAAAATAAAGGAAGATATCAGTTATTATTGAGCCTGGCTATTGGAGCTGAGGGTCACAAAATTTATTGTTTAGCTTTCTATATTGTCATTAGAGATAGCAGTCTGACTTTCTGCAAGTCTGGCTTACAGCAGGCTGACTTTCTGGGTTGTTTATTGTAGGAAAGGGGCTGGTTTACTGAGCAAGTTACTTCAGGTTTAGGGCCAAAGTTCAGCTTGCATATTTTCTTGCTCTTGTATGCATATGTAATCTCTTACAAGTTTAATCTTTTTTCTTTCCTCCAGAAAAGGATTAACCAGAAAAGGATGTCCTACATTGAACTCAAATAAAAGTAAATTAACTTTCTTGTACATCAGACTTATGGTTGCAAATTCTAACCCTACGTGTCCATATTATTGATATTCTGTGGCCCTAGTAAGGTTGCCTGGTACATTATGACAGAGGTTCATGAGATGGAGGCTTGGTCCCCAGAGTTGTGATGTTGAGGTAACAGCAAATATTACGGAACTATTCCCTGAGGCTATCACCTAGATTAATTACATTGGATGAATTGCATCGTCTAAAAGACAGTGCAGTGTCATTATTAAAATGAACCTGTATTCTGAATATGCACTTGCATTCCTCGCCCACATGCTTTTACTTAACCACCATCCATTAACTTGCAGAATGTCTTACCCACTGTTATAGTATTCCACATGGCCTGGCATCTGACCAAGGAACTTGTTTCCTACAATGAAGCACAGCATGCACATCACAAGGAGTTCACTGCTCTTACCATATCCCCTTCCCCATGAAGCAAATGGCTGGAAGTGGATTTTTGAAGACTTCATTCTGGTACCTGTTAAGTGGCAGAACCTTGAGCTTTTGGGACATTTCAAGAGCCAAACTGTAACAATCCCCAAGTAAATGGTAGTAAGATGTACAGACTATGGGAGGTCATTAGATCATAAGGATCTAATCTATGCCTTCATGGACGGAATTAATGCCTTCATAAAAGGGCATGAAGAAGTGTGACTCCCTTCTATCCCTTGTGTCATGTGTGGATACAACAAGAGGCAAAAAGAAAACCTTCCCCAGACCCCAACCTACTGGCTACTTGATCTTGTGATGGAAAAACTCCCTCTAGAATCTGTCTTTAACAGTATTACTCTTCCCTCCTCTTTCTAAACTTTTCCCTAATCTCCTCCCACCCCAATCTTTCAATGACCCATCCCTTTCACATAGTATTCTAAAATTTAAAGAGAGTCCTCTAGAAACTCCCCCTCCTTCTTCAGTTCATGTTGTTAGAAATACCAAGTTGTCTGCAAGAAATCTAACACGTTGAAAAGTAAGTGGGCAAGGCAGACTTCTACTTCTGACAGAATGGTTAGCTACAGAACCTGGCTAGTAAGGGCACCTTGGGTGGGCAGTCAGCCTGCTTAGATCCCTAAGGCAGTGTGTCCTTCACCCTGATTGGAGGATTCAAGGGTACAGTCTAATGCAATTGGCTAATTTTAAAATGGGGGTGGGCAAAGGAAAGCACTGTAATTAAATTGGCAATTGAATCCAATTAGGGCAGAATATTATATTCTGAAAATGGACCACCAGATTTTCTATTTCTCACAATATGAATTGATTTGCAGAAAAGCAGGTTTATGTCATGAAAGTACATGGCGGATGAGGGCCCCAGGAGGTTGAGGTCTATTTTCATGCTGGCAGTTTGGGAGGGAGAGGAGAGAAAACTAAGACAGCACCTCAAACCAATGCATGACTTTCCAGCCAACTGTCCCACTGTAAATATTTTCTTCTCCTATCAAAGCCCTTTAGGTCCCTGAGCCCCCTAAGATACAGATTTGAGAAGTTTAGTCAATCTTCTTCAAAGACAATTTTGAACAAAGTTATTTTCCTTCCCCAATGTCTGTCTCCTGAATTTGGGGCTGAGCAGTGAGTAGCATGGATATTTGATCCTGATAACAATCTTGCATTTCTCAACCCCCAGAAGTGTTAACTCAGAGGACCCATCCAGAGGACCAAATGACAAATGGTGAGACCTTACCCTTGCCCAGCAGTTTTCTGTGATCTCAGAGGAAGAATCTCAAGCAAATCACACACAGCAGCAGGCAAGAGTTTATTAGAAAGATAAGAGATTACAGACATGCAGGATAGACAATGGGTAACTTCTGGGAGGTTGGTGTGTGCCTTATAGAATCAAAAATTTTTAAAGATTGAACTTGGAAGCTCTCCCCATCTGAAATTGGAAGATATAGGTGCCAGACCCATAAAATCTTGCTCTTTTTGACAAGATTAGAAGTTAGAACCTGTAAAATTCTGGAAGTGAAAACCTCTTTGAAACTTTGAAACTTCATGTTTTGTTCTAATACATCTCTTCACCCTTCTAAAAGCTCTCTTCCTCCCAGAGCTTTTAGAGATGGAATTTTTGAAATCTTTTAGAGAAGATTTTTTCCCAACTTCCCCCAAAGCTGGCTTTGGACAAAACCCACTTTCCTACCAAGCTGACCTTGAATGTATCTGGAGTAGAGAGTTATGGCTTAGCTTTCTTCCTTCCAGGGCCAGTAATAGTGCTGCAGGGCTGGGAGTAGTTTCTTTTGTTTTTGCCTGCTTTGATAAAGTTTTCTATTGTCTCCAGTCCAGTGACCTATGGACTGTGTTTGATGCATGACTGATTTCGCCCTGTAAATTATCACTGTAAGGAAAGAAGCCAATGAGGGAAATAGAGGAGAAGCAGCTCAACACTAACACAAGTGTATTCTCCACAGCCCTGCCCGCCTCAAACACACCCCCAACCCCCTGTGGAGGTGCCCAGTGGAGACTGAGACCTGTCTTCTGCTTACAGTGTCAAAGTTGGAGACAGTGAGAATTATCTTATGCAGCCCAGCTGTGGAAGTTCCAGTGTCTCCTTATCACTTCTAGCTCCTCCTCTAGGTCAACCAAAGACCCTTGTTTTGCATCGATTCCTCTTGTGTGACCCGGCCAGGTCTTTGCTGATACTCAGTGTCTTCCTGAACCTATCACAGATAATTTTATAGGGTCTGCTTTACTCTAATCTCTTTTAGTTAATTGTGCATAATACCAGTTTCACATTATTATCATTGAACCTTGTTTTTCTTGTTAAGAACTTTAAAAAACACATGGATGAAACATTTTTTTACACTCTTGAAAAGTAATAAGCCAAAATAGTTTTATGTGATCTAAATAGTAAGTCAAAGAATGTGAAATTGACCGGCCTCCCAGGTACCAGGGACTAGGTTTGTGATTAAAATTGACTCCCTGAATGTTGAGCAAAAACTGATCGTGTTTATTGTTTGTAAATATGGACGACTCAAAGCCTGGCTCAAGAAAAACATGTGAAATACTGGACACTACAGCTGCTTTGCCCTTGTGTCTTTTACCAGGGAAAAACAAAAGTGACAAGCACAGACACATTAAAGGGGCACATTCACAGACCACAGGGGACATGGCATACAAGTGAAAACTGACTCAGGACACTTCAGGGGCTCCTCTCTACATTACACTGAGACCTGACAGCAAAGTGAATAGAAGATGAGGCCACAATGAATATGTCTTCGAGAAAGGAGAAGGTCTGGATATTTGGGTTCCAAGGACCTTGCTCATTTTCTCCACAGGAGCTTGGAGCGTTGGATTAAGGTTCTGGTGGCCCTGATAGATGAAACTCCATGAATTGGGTGGCAGATACACAAATGTATACAATATGAGTTTATGTGTTTAAAATATAAATAAACAAACAATATAAACAACTAATGGTAGTGGTTTCAGTAGTGGGGATAATGAAAGGAAAGGTTGTACTATTGGGAAGATCATCAAAAGTTTACTAATAATATCTAATGTTTTGCCTTTCAACAACCTAAAACCATTAAAAAGCTTCTTCACAGCAAAGGAAACAATCACAAATGTGAAGAGAGAACCTACGGAATGGGAGAAAATCTTTGCCACCTGCACCTCAGATAGAATTAACCTCCAGAATACATAAAAAACTCAAAAAACTTAACATAAAAAAATACAAAATAAATCAATAAAAAAAACCAAATAACCCAATAAATAAATGGGAAGAGGAACTGAACAGGAAGGCACTTCATAGGAGAAGAAATACAATCACTCAACAAATATATAAAAAAATGTTCAACATCTCTAGCAATTCAAGAAATGCAAATTATAACTATACTGCAATTTCATCTCACTCCACTCAGAATGGCAATTAGCAAGAATATAAGTAACAATAAATGTTGATGAGGATGTGGTGCAAAAAGCACACTCATACGTTGCTGATGGGATTGCAAATTCGTGCAACCACTATGGAAAGTAGTATGGAAATTACTCAGAAAACTTGGAATGGAACCACCATTTGACCCGGTTATCCCACTCCTTGGTTTATACCTAAAGAGCTTAAAATCATCATACTATAGTGATGTAGCCACACAACACATGTTTATAGCAGCTCAATTGACAATAGCTGAACTATGGAACCAGCCTTGGTGCTCTTCAACAGGTTAATGGATAAAGAAATGTGATATATATAATATATTACTCAGTTATAAAGAAATATAAAATTATGGCATTTGGTGGTAAAATGGATGAAACTGGAGACTATCATGCTAAATGAAATAAGCCAATTCCAAAAATCAAAAGCTGAATGTTCTCTCTTATGTGTGGATGCTAACTCACAATAAGGGGTGGAGGTAAGAGAAAAATAGAAGTACTTTGAAATAGACAAAGGGGAATGAAGAGAAGGGAGGGG